CCCTTAGTTTTCACCCAAACGGGGTGGAATTTAGAACATAGATAGATGTAATGGACTTCTACAAGAAAGTATGGTCACCATGCTCATGTATACACGTGCGTGCACGTGAAATGAGTAAAATCAAATAATAAAACTTGAATGAGCGTATTTTTTTTTAATAATTATGGATTAAATACTTTAATATTCAGTATATTAAAAATATAGATTGTGTAGACAAGATGATATGGTCATGACGCAAATGCATTCACATGTGCACGCGTGCAATGCTAAAGTTTAAATGATTTTTGTACACTTCTTTGTTAATGTTGTTAAAATCTCAGATGCATAGAGGTTGTTTAATGAAGCTTACAGGGAATATGGCACCAAAAGGGAGTTGGGGAGCGTTTGGGGAACATCTGTAACGGTCCCCGTTACAATTAGCACTAGTTTCTTTTAAGATAATTAATATTTTTAATAATTCGACATTTTTTATATACAGTGTTTTTTAATGAAGTGTTATAACGAAAATACATTTAGCACCAAAATATGTCTTTGTAATCTGGCGACAAAAAGGAAAGTAATTCAAATTACACGTCTACGCAAAACGAAAGGACAAGAAAGTGAATCATAAAACAGTCTCTCCGTAAATAACAATGAAACTTAGAAACGATGTTTTGAGAATAAAATGATGAAGTAGAAATATTATTGTCTAAATAAATATTTTTTTAAGATAAACCCTACTTGATTTTTCCATAACGCATGGTCGGTAAAAATGGCCAGGGCTTCGGACCGGGGTTGATTCCCCGACAGCTATGAAACGGGAAAAGAATCATCTGCATCGTTTTTTTTTCTTTCGGGATTCATTATTAATTTCAAACATTTAATACAAAGCAAGATGTTATATTCCGAGTTATTTCTCTTTTAAAACGTATTATTATACCTTAACTTCGTCACCATAATGCATGTCTCGAAGAAAAGCGACACGTACAGGTTTGTCTTATAAATAGAAATTCGCTTGACTCATGAACAATGTTACAATGTTGTCATACTTGTTTTAAAAAAATAATTTTATTTAATTCCATGATACTAGCTTCAAACGCAGGTCGGTTTATTTTGTAATCAATGGAGGAATAAATGTACGTTAACTCATGTTTTGACACGGAAATAAAAATTATTGATTGTAATCGTGATATGAAATCCTCCCTTTTCAAATTAAATTTATAATATATATTATATAGCCATGTTTTTCTTTTCATTTATTTAATTATTTGATAGATTGATTATATTTATGGCATATTCTTATGAATTAAAAAAAAGAAAAGAACGATTTGATTGCTTCTTTATCACGTTGGCATACAGTGCGGTAGGCATCAAAAGCCTGAAAGTTAATTCGATGGTCGGTACGATCTCCAGACAAGGTACACAAGATATACAGCAGCAAACTAAATGTCAATCAAATAAAAGTATCCAATCCCAGGCTTAATTTCAGATGATTGACAGAGGTTCTAAGACCAGGTAAATTTGAAGGAGGTGCTTATTTCCTCCCCCTTTAAACACATGAATCCCCACCCCCACCCCACTCCGGACGAGTTTGTTGCTTCGCAGGGGGAAGATGTTTTGAAAATAAATTTCCATTTTCCGTTAATTTCTGTAGGGAAATATTTTATATCTCTTTGATTTTACAAGTAAGTTATGTTTTACATGCACAGTTCAAGAGTCGGGACACCCCTCAGGAATTTGTACAGTTATTTGATGTATAAACTTAACCATCTAAAATTGACCTTGGACCATCCCCCTACAAAACGCGGACCCATGTTAAGTTGGAATGAAACTTCATTGATATGAAGATGTCCAGTATAAGAATTCAACCCACCCCCCCCCCCCTTCCGCCGAAATAATTTTTCACGTTTAGGAAAGGAGTTTACGTTTTTTTCTTGTCAAGAAATTTCTGGTTGGATTTTTAAACTGGAGTGGACCCCTCCTTGTAAAAAATATTGTGGATCCGCGCCTGTTTTTTTGAAAAATCACATAAATATAAATATGAAATTTTATTCAAATACGTGTGACAGTAGGCAGTAAGCAGTGAGCAGATGGCATTCCATAGGCATGGGTCTTTGACTGATCAGTGGAATTTGATTTTATATGCAAGTGATTTAATCCTGCTAATCTTAAGAAGAATTAAACTGCATTTTATTGCATTGGACAAGAATGCAATGTCAATCAAATTAATTTCAAGCTCTGTTGAAAAAAAATCAACATTAATTTTTTTTCGTTTCTAAAATATGTATAAAAACAGAGTGGATGGGAACTTTTTTTTAAATACATATGTTACAATAAAGGGATTTGTTCTTTTTGATATGAAATAGAATTAACAATCAAAAAAAATATATCGAAAAGACTTTTCGACAAAGTTACCAATGACTATTTTTTTAATCGAACGACTAGTTGGGATAAGTGAAAACTTTTTTTTTTTCATCGAACAATTCGAAAACATGCAGAAGAATCAAACCCTTGTCTTTGACAGAGGAGTAAGTTTCTTTATCTACATGAGAACTACTACAGTTTATCTTAATAAGAATTGCACTTTATTGCAATGGGCAAGAATGCAATTTGTCAGTCAAAATAATTTAGTCCAATTTTGTTTTATGTGATTTTATTCAAAAAAGATTGAAACTGGCCATTTTTTGTAACTTACTTGAATTTGAAAAACAGAAGGAATGGAAGTGTATTACTAGAATAAGGCTTTCTTTTCGTGACTAAAGTATATAGAAACAGGAAGATATCAAAAAATTGAAAGAAGCAATAGAAAATGTCAATTTTGTAATGATCACTGTATAGAAGATGAATATCATTTTTTGCTTGAATGTCCTGTTAATGAATATTTAAGAAAAATATACCAAAACATATTATTTCGGATCTCCAAATACGCACAAGCTTACTCAATTACTCAGCTCTCTTGATGTCAGTGTTTTAAATGGATTAGGAAAATTTATTCTCCATGCAATGGAATTAAGAAATAATGAATAATTTGATTGATATGTAGTTATGTATGATGTATTATAGTTATATTTCATGTAAAATGTAGAATTTAGAATACACTCTGCATTTGTTGATGTTTGGGAGTCCGACAGATGGACACTACTACCCCACCACCCCGACACTCGCCTTGTATTCACATATATGTTTATTGTGCTTATACTGATGAGCCATATGGCTTAAAGTTATTCAATAAATAATTCTATATTATTTCATTTTTATCATGTACCGTATGTATATATGAATAAAGTTTTTTTGAGCCACTGAAATATAAATGATTTCCAATGGTAACCGTCACTGCATTCTTGCATGAATATGAGATACTTTTCAGTACATTGCCGCTACAAGATCGAAAAGGAACCCCCCCCCCCCCCCTTTAGCTCTAATTTTGTTTTGAATTAATTTTTCAAAAATATAATTTCGATGTATCTAATTGAGAGTTGAAATTCATGAAATATTGCATAGCATCTTTACAAACAACTTGTTAACGTAAATATTTTTTTCATTCCAGTTGTTGGACGTCATTCTACACTTCACCAAATATTTTACAACAAATCAGTGATATCAAGGTCAGACGACACGTTCTGCAGAAATGTTTGTATTTCTTGGTATTATGTAAAAATAATTCACAATTGTCATTCTTCTGTGATTTATATAACGCTTTCAATAAGTTTTATAAATATAAGTACACCAAAAATTGCGATATAAATCATTCAAGTACGGAAGCGTATTAGTGCCACGCAATATTTGGAAAAGCCAAGATTAAAGTTGGAATTACCAATTTTAGAGTTGGAAAAGCCAAGATTAAAGTTGGAATTACCAAGTTTAAAGTTGGAAAAGCCAACTTTAAAGTTGGAATTACCAACTTTAAAAGAAATGTTACGTGGCACTAATACGCTTCCGTATTCAAGGGCCCGTAGGAAGCACCTTTTTGTTGGGGGGGGGGGCTTAATCCAAGCATAATAGAACCATGCTTTCTATAGTTATTAGTATTCTTTCAACCCATTGTATATTGTCCTGGTATCTTTAAAGTACCTTAATTTTTGTGCGGAAAGTTGAATGTTTTTAAAAGTACGTATACTCTATTCTCCACAGCTGTAGGCAAAAGCCTGCCCACTTCTCTAAAGAGAATACCTATACCTATACTTCAATGAAACTTTGTTGGGAAAATTTACATTTTTTAGAAACATGTCGTCTGACCTTAATTTGTGCATAAATAGTGTTTGGAGAGAGAGAGAGAGAGAGAGAGAGAGAGAGAGAGAGAGAGAGAGTCTTTATTTAGCAGGGACGTAGCAACAAGGGGGGCCTGCCCCCCCCCCACTTTTTTCCCCAACATTACTTTTACTATTGAAAATGTCTATTGAAAGGTTGGTTGTCCCCCCTTTCTTTCCATAGTATAATGATATCAAGGATATGTAGTATTGTATGGAAAACATTGTAAGTGAAAGGAAGTTGGCCTTGAAAAAAGTTAGCCACTAACACCCCCCCCCCCCCAACCTCTCGAACGAAATAGGATTTTCGAGTTTGGGATCCCCCCCCCCCACCCTTTTTTTTTTAATTTATTTGTTTTTTTTTTTTTGTTCTTTTTTTTTTGCTTGTCAACTTTTTCAGGTAAGTAAAAAAATTTTTCTCTGGTTGGCCCCCCACTTTCAAAAACGATGCTATGTGCCTGTTTAGGAAAGATTTTTATGCAACCATGAGAGATCATAGGCGCCGGTCGGAACCGGGGGGGGCTAGGGAGGGCCACTTTTTTGCAAAAATAGTCATTGAAAATTGGGATTCACCTTTTTTTGTTGGTTTAGCCCCCCTCCTCCCACTTTCGATTAGCCCCCCCCCCCTTTCAATTTGCTTCCGACGCCCTGCCCCATGAAGATAAACTTAAAATATATTGATCTACAACCACGAGCGACAATAAACATCATGGTGATTGGGGTTTTCCGGGTTGGAATACGGCACCAATCCCACTTTTGTTTTGTTTCCACAGGAAGTGTAGGCTGATAGAGAAAATTCGGTTTAAAAGCATGTCAACGACTGGAGCTGGAGAACTTCTGGATGGCGATGGTCCTGATAGGAAAAAAATTAAACCAAATGAGTGTATCAGGTAAGCTCATTTCTACCATTGTTATCATATCATGCTGCAGTCTGTAGTATAGAATACGATTTTGTTTTCATAGGCCTACATGTTTTACACATATATGTTTCACTTCACTGATTGCTGTTGATTTTCAAATCACGCAACGCCCTAGGCCCTACTGAATACAAAAATATAAAAATGCATACGCTGAATACAATTTGTACACATACCGCGTTTAGATAAACAGTAAAGTACCTTTGCTAAATATAGCAAAGGTGTTTAGTTATTGGCCAGTTTCTGAATTGTCCCATTTATGTACACGTCACAGGTAAGTACAGCACACGTGTACACGTAAAAAATCACAATGCCGTTATAAAAGAATTATTTCTCTGCTTGAATTTAGTGTGCTTCCCTGGTGTATATTTCTGAGAGAAAATAATTATTTTTAGCTCATACGTTGCATGTATTTAATGACACCTCCATTTAAACCCCCCTCCAAAATGAGATGTTCTGATCCGTGAAGGCTTATTTATGCAGTTGATAACCAGGCCGTCACTCTTTTTAGGGCAATCATGGCTAGGTAGGCATGTAGGATGTCAAACTTTCTGCATTTAATTTTTTTTTTTTTTTTTTTACATATACATATAAATTTCAAAGATAAACTTGATATGAGCTACATATAATTATACAATAGAAGTATTTGAGAAAAAAAAAAAATACAGAGGTAGAGAAGTATTTAAATTTACATTTACTTAGTACATTGAGTTGAATTTCTGATAAATCATTTTTAATCAGTGCATAGTAGGAGGAGGATACAAGATAAAATTTGGCTTTTAAGTGGTCAAATTATTTAGCAAACTTGACAGGAAACAAAAAACATGAATATGCATGTAAAACTAAAAAGACATTAAGTGCAGTGAAGGATACATAATGTACAAGAAGACATGCATCCCGAATAATAACTTTATCATCATTGATAAAATAGAATTGTTTGCAAACCATATCTTAAAAGTTTTAAAATATAGTATCTTTAAGGGATGATCCACCACTATGAATGCATTTTTAAGGTTAAATGTTCACAACTTTTTTTTGCTAAATTTGTTTTAAGAAAATGAACAGAAAAAACTAAATTTTGTTCTATAAGCATAGTATAGAATACTATAGACACAACCAGCTTTGTTAGACCAATTATTTTTTTTATTTTGAAAAAAGGGAAACCAATACCCTTTTGACATAATTTTTTTGTAAAATAATGAGAGAGCATGGATCCAAGTATTTTCTTTGGTCCAGATTACTGAACCGTATTATAACACACTGGTACATAGGAAAAAAAATCAGAAAAAAGGCTTTTAACATTGACATTCAACCTGGGAGAATCTGCTTGAAAATGGACAAATATTGATAATTCTCCTGCATCAAATACTACACATTTTTGCTTGTAATTTAACTAATATGACACACTGAATGCAACCTAGTCTTCTTTATTTACATGACCACTTAATTGCGTCCCCAGAACAAATTGTGTGGATTAATGATGTATTCAAATCTCTAAATAACTGCTATTGTACTTTTTATAATAAGTTTATATAGATATAAATTTTGTTCTTAACAGCATTTTGCTTTGAAGGTGAAGCATCTGGGTTTGAATTAATTACACTATAATAATAACATTATACTAAAGTAATTTCTGGGGCTTTACAAATCCAAAACATTGAATAGATGATTAGAACCTTAAATACCACAAATGGGGATTTTGGTTGAAGTCAAATGCAGTTAAAAAATGCAGCTGATTACAAAACTTATTTTTATATACAATCATATAAATTTAGAAATTCCTGTTCTGATTTTTGGTCCAATGCAGAAAAAAGTAAAATGTTATATTCAAATATACCTAATACTTTTTTAAGGCTTTCTAGAATGTTAGATTTCAGCATAACAGAGAGCTAGATGATATCATTCAATTATGATTAAATTAAAATATTTATCTACTTGCATTAGTACATTGCAGGAATTCCTCAATCCTGAAATCAAGACTTTTTTAAATTAAAAAAAAAATTCCTTCATTTGCTAACTGTTTCTTTGACAGGGAGGGCATACTTCTGGGATATGGAAATCCTCTGTTAGACATATCTTGTAATGGAACTCAAGAATTTCTTGACAAGTAAGTTTTCATAGATATAATTTATGCCAGAGTAATTGCTGAAGCCTGAATTATCTCAACCATGAAATCAAAGCACTTGCCATTTATCAGTAAATCTATCTGGCCTGATAAATATATAAATTTATATTACAATACTCAGTTACTGCAAGTTAATAGTGATGATGTAACATTTAAAATCTTTTAAGTAATGTTTTAACAGAGTAGTTATTTCTATAAGGTATGGCCTGGAGAGAGATAATGCAATCCTCGCAGAAGAAAAGCATAAGCCCATGTAAGTAGTTCCAAATATGTATTCTGGTCTATATAACCCTTCAAGTAACACTTGAAAGCTTTGCTGTTGATAACATGTCCATAGGAGTTCATTTATATATAATATATCATAGTTTTGCAATAGATCCCATAACAGGTGGGGAAGGGTAGGATAAACAGGAGAAGGAGAAAGAGAGGGGATTGAAGATGAGGGAGAAGGGTGGGATAAACAGGAGTGGGAGAAAGAGAGGGGATTGAAGATGAGGGAGAGGGTGGGATAAACAAGATTGAAGATGAGGGAGAAGGGTGGGATAAACAGGAGATGGAGAAAGAGAGGGGATTGAAGATGAGGGAGAAGGGTGGGATAAACAAGAGTGGGAGAAAGAGAGGGGATTGAAGATGAGGGAGAAGGGTGGGATAAACAAGAGTGGGGGAAGAGAGGGGATTGAAGATGAGGGAGAAGGATGGGATAAACAGGAGATGGAGAAAGAGAGGGGATTGAAGATGAGAGAGAAGGGTGGGATAAACAAGAGTGGGAGAAAGAGAGGGGATTGAAGATGAGGGAGAAGGGTGGGATAAACAAGAGTGGGGGGAGAGAGGGGATTGAAGATGAGGGAGAAGGATGGGATAAACAGGATTGAAGATGAGGGAGAAGGGTGGGAAAAACAAGATTGGGGGAAAGAGAGGGGATTGAAGATGAGGTTAGAAGGATGGAAAATAGAAAGAAGTGGGAGAAGGTCAGGCCCCATACAAGATATTGAAAACATTTTGTGTGAAACTGTGAATGGAATAGATTTTATGTATCATTTTTACATGTTTATATAAATAGGTACAAAGATATGGTTGACACTTTTGGGGACCACGTAGAGTATGTTCCTGGTGGGGCCACCCTTAATGCAATCAAGGTAGCACAGGTAAGTCATGGATCTTCACCTCTTTGTTACACCTTTTCTACTCCAGGTAATCAAAGTAAACAGGTGAATGTACAGGGAAATATTGCCAACAAACTTGTTGTTTCTTTTTAGCTCACCTGAGCTGAAAGCTCAAGTGAGCTTTACTGATCACCCGTTGTCCGTCGTCCGTCCGTCTGTCCGTCTGTCTGTCCGTCTGTCCGTCTGTAAACTTTTCACATTTTCAACTTCTTCTCAAGAACCACTGGGCCAATTTTGACCAAACTTGGTACAAAGCATCCTTGGGTAAAGGGAAATTTAAATTGTTAAAATTAAGGGCCAATACCCCTTCCAAGGGGAGATAATCAAGAAAATACAAAAATAGGGTTGGGTCATTAAAAAATCTTCTTCTCAAGAACCACTGGGCCAGAAAAGCTGAAACTTATATGAAAGCATCCTGAGGTAGTGTAGATATTAAATTGTTAAAATCATGACCCCCGGGGGTAGGGCGGGGCCACAATAGGGAATCCAAGTTTTACATAGAAATATATAGAACAAATCTTTAAAAATCTTCTTCTCAAGAACCACTGGGCCAGGAAAGCTGAAATTTATGTGGAAGCATCCTTGAGTAGTGTAGATATAAAATTGTTAAAATCAAGACCCCCAGGGGTAGGGCGGGGCCACAATAGGGAATCCAAATTTTACATAGAAATATATAGAACAAATCTTTAAAAATCTTCTTCTTAGAAGCCACTGGGCCAGGAAAGCTGAAACTTATATGGAAGCATCCTTGGGTAGTGTAGATATAAAATTATTAAATTCATGTCCCCCGGGGGTAGGGCGGGGCCACAATAGGGAATCCAAGTTTTACATAGAAATATATAGAACAAATCTTTAAAAATCTTCTCCTTAGAAACCACTGGGCCTGGGAAGCTCAAACTTATGTGGAAGCATTCTTGGGTAGTGTAGATATTAAATTGTTAAAATCATGACCCCCAGGGGTAGGGCGGGGCCACAAGGGAATCCAAGTTTTACATAGAAATATATAGAACAAAACTTTAAAAATCTTCTTCTTAGAAACCACTGGGCCAGGGAAGCTCAAACTTATGTGGAAGCATCCTTGGGTAGTATAGATATTATATTATTAAAATCATGACCCCCAGGGATAGGGTGGGGCCACAATAGGGAATCCGAATTTACATTGAAATATATAGAACAAATCTTTTAAAATCTTCTTCTCAAGAACCATTGGGCCAGGAAAGCTCAAACTTATGTGGAGGCATCCTTGGGTAGTGTAGATATTCAATTGTTAAAATTATGACCCCTGGGGGTAGGGCGGGGCCACAATAGGGAATCCAAGTTTTACATAGAAATATATAGAACAAATCTTTAAAAATCTTCTTCTCAAGAACCACTGGGCCAGGAAAGCTAAAATTGATGTGGAAGCATCCTTGGGTAGTGTAGATATTAAATTGTTAAAATCATGACCCCCGGGGGTAGGGCGGGGCCACAATAGGGAATCCAAGTTTTACATAGAAATATATGGAACAAATCTTTAAAAATCTTCTTCTTAGAAACCACTGGGTCAGGGAAGCTCAAACTTATGTGGAAGCATCCTTTGGTAGTGTAGATATAAAATTGTTAAAATCATGACCCCAGGGGGTAGGGCGGGGCCACAATAGGGAATCTAAGTTTTACATAGAAGTATATAGAACAAATCTTTAAAAATCTTCTTCTCAAGAACCACTGGGCCAGGAAAGCTAAAATTGATGTGGAAGCATCCTTGGGTAGTGTAGATAATAAATTATTAAAATCATGACCCCCGGGGGTAGGGCGGGGCCACAAAAGGGGGATCCAAGTTTTACATAGAAATATATATAGAACAAATCTTTAAAAAAAGATCTGCATCACCCAAGTTACTCAGGTGAGCGATGTGGCCCATGGGCCTCTTGTTTATACCTAAAATCTAGATTTAAACAAGATGTGTTTGTGAAACACTATGCCCCCAATGGTAACACAATTCTGAAGGTCACAGCTGAGGTCACATAATCAAAAATGTCTGTACCAATGGAAAGGTCTTGTCATAATGAACAATCACGTCAAATATTAAAGCCTTACCCTTGACAGTGCAATAGTTATGGGCTAGGTTAAAGTTGACAACAGACAGACAATATAACCAAATATTGGCAATTGTAAGATTAATTGGATTAGGGCATTATTTTCAAAAAATTATGTTGATGAACGAAGAGAATTCCATTGTTCATTCAGAAATGACTATTATCAAAGTGGTTAAGTTATATGATTCCTACCAGGGTAATATATTAGTTTAAATTGCAAATCTAGTTCATCAAATAAAGTTTCTCTGTCCAATGATTTATAATTATGTTCATAGCTAAGCTATTTTTGGTTTTAGTGGCTATCAGGAGTCCCCCAGGCCACCACATTCTTCGGGTGTATCAACAAGGATGAGTTTGGTCAGATCCTGGAGAACAAAGCTAGAGAGGCGGGGGTCAACACACAGTTCCAGTACACTGACAAGGAGCCTACAGGAACGTGTGCTGTCATTTGCACTGGAAACTTCAGGTAGGTCCCACAGAAAACCTGACAACAGGGCTAGCTTTGTCCTGCTCTGGAAAAATAAGTCATGTGATGATCAGTAGAATGTATGCCTGTAAATGTGCTTGTTAGTATAAGTTTTGGGGCTGAAAATTTGGCAAGGTCCTGATTTTCCTGGGCTCCCTGAACCCCTCCCTTGAGAAAAATCCTCCATTTATTTAGGATTGGCATCTCTAACAGATCCATCAGGAAGTGTGTAGTCTTGATTTCTGGAAGTACATGCAGTTGTCTCCCTTTAAACAGAATAAATGGCATAAGTATGAAAATAGTTTTAGACAAAATTTTATTCCCTTGGATTAAAATGTCAGTTTTCAGTGAAATTAAGAAAGAGTTTCAGTTTTGAGAGTACATGGAGGTTTAATTAACACTTGATGAAAAATATTCATAAATGACAAGTACATGTATCAGGTCATATCCTTGGGATCTTGGAACTAGTCCATTTGTACACCTACAAGTTACAAGTGAAGTGTCTAAAACCTGTGTAAAACAATTACTTTTCCCTTGAGCTTCATGTGCAAATGTCCAATAAGTGACAATAAATAAGTCAGACAGAAAATTGAGCATGTTTTTGCATGTTATATGAAGCTTGTTCAAAACAGTTATTGTAGATTCCTTATTTTTTTGCGAGTACTTATTAGGGCCTCGCAAGGATTTGCGGGTGCCCTATAGTAATCACTCTGTCTGTCTGTCTGTCTGTCCGTCTGTCTGTCCGTCTGTCATTCTTCCGTCCTCAAATTTTCTGTTTTTTCCTAATAACTTTTTTTATTGTAGTCCAATTAAGTTCAAATTTGGTATGGTAGTTCAGTAGGCAAAAAGACATATTTTGATGTTAAGTTTGTTTTTCTTTGTCCTCTGGTTTGGAGCTGGGTGGTGGGGTAGATTCCTTAAGTTTATATAAGAATGAATTTGCAAAGAGAGATAACTTCTGAAAATGTTCCCATTGTAAACTGAATACTGCAATGAATGAGTCCCTTGGGATTAATTAGCTTTCCTCCTGAAGAATCTTTATCTGTCACATTGAGATTAATTACCACCTCTGTCTGCAAATGAAGTTTGTTTTGAAGTTAAGTCCATTTGGAATGCTATGAACACTCTGAAATGTGGATTTAAGTATAAATGTTTTTTACTTTATTTTTGTTGAAATACCCTACTTTATTTATTTTTTTTATTTATTTATTTATCCTTTTTATTATTATTATTTTTTTTTTTTGGCTTCATAAAAATTCAAGAATATTTTTAATTTTTAAGGCAGTAGGATAAAAACTTCATTCTATCATTACTGAAAAAGTTCTTATTATAAATTAAGAATAAAATGATGAGGGAGAAGTACAATTAATCCCTTGGGATTAATTATCTGGCCTACTGCAGAAAATTTAGAAGGCTTATCTTTATCTGTCACTTTAAGATTAATGAAAACCTTTGTCTGCAACTGCTGTTTGTTTTGAAGTTAAGGTCATGCCTTCATGATATATATTTGCATTCATTGAAGGCTGGCATTTTATATAACACAAGCTCCATTATTGTTTAGATATACATTTGGTGTTGAGTTGTTCTTTACTGCCTTATGTAAAATAAATACAAGGATATTATTTACAGGTTTTTGGATATTCAGGAGTTATCTTGAAATTTTAAGAATACAGTTGCTGTTTCTTATTCGTCATATATTTTTTAATCATTCCATAAGCTGCACCCTTATAATTCTACCCCATGGCGGGGCCCTTGCTGACTGGTCAGTTTTCTAGTTATCGCTTAAGGCCTCTTCAAAGTCAAATCGCGAGAATAATGATTCGCAAATGGATGGTTTGTCAAGAGATTTTTTATTGTTTTTAGCACCATAAAAATAAAAGCAAGTAATTTTATATTGTGAGTTGTGTTTCTTGCGAAATTATACCAAAAATAATTTCACACATATATTTAGGATTACAGTAAATAGTGGTATATAGATGTAATAACTAGGCCGTCTTTTTACAGATCTATGTGTGCCAATTTAGCAGCAGCCAACTGTTTTACAGAGGAACATCTGGAGACACCAGCACACTGGAAACTTGTAGAAAAGGCCCAATATTATTACCTTGCTGTAAGTCAGAATCCTATAGGTCTGTCTGTAGATCATGACCCAATATTATTACCTTGATATAAGTCAGAATCCTATAGGTCTGTCTGTAGATCATGACCCAATATTATTACCTTGATATAAGTCAGAATCCTATAGGTCTGTCTGTAGATCATGACCCAATATTATTACCTTGATATAAGTCAGAATCCTATAGGTCTGTGTGTCTGTTTGTTAGTAACCTTGAAGAGAAGGCCCAGTATTATTACATAGCTGTAAGTCAGATTCCTATAGGTCTGTTTGTCTGTTAATAAAGGCCCAGTATTATTATGAAGCTATAAGTCAGAATCTTGTTCGTCTGTTAATAAAGGCCTAGTATTACTACCTTGCTGTAAGTCAGATTCCTATAGATCTGTTTGTTTGTTAATAAAGGCCCAGTATTATTACGTAGCTGTAGGTTAGAATCTTGTGTGTCTGTTTGTCTGCCTGTTAATAAAGACCCAGTATTATTACGTAGCTGGTAGTCAGGAATCCTACAGGTCGGTCTGTCCCCTCCTATTTTTTGTAAGAGAAGCCTCAACATTTACACTTTCATGAATTGAGACTTCTGATCTACAAATCTATTTCAGGCATTTCCCCTTACTGTTAGTCCCCCCACTGTTATGAGAATCGGTAAACACGCCCAGGAGTCTGGTAAAGTGTTCTGTATGAACCTGTCTGCACCATTCCTTTGTCAGTTCTTCAAAGAACCCATGCTCAAAGCCATGCCATTTGTAGATGTTCTGTTTGGAAATGAAACGGTAAGTCATGGTAATGCATTGTCCATTATAAGATCCTTTGTGAAGAAATTTGCAAAGAAATTTGTAAAATCTAGCATGACTAAATATAACATCTAGAGTAAAGAGACTTCTTTTCATCCTTGTATGTTTTGTTAACAGTTGATGAATTAATTATTATCTTTACAGGAAGCAGAGACCTTTGCCAAAGAGAACAACTTTGGGGTAAGAATTGAATCTAGTGACAATAAAACAGTAGCCAACCCTTTCTGTCCACACCATGTGAGTGTTTAACTGTAGCAGTAATCGGTCGATATATATTATATTTCAGACCACCGATATTGCCCAGATTGCACTAAAGCTAGCCGCTCTACCAAAGGAGGACAACAAACCCAGGACCGTGGTCATCACTCAGGGATCCAATCCTACTGTTGTAGCTAAAGGTCACCTTTATTTATATGTATCCTTGTTTGTCAAAAACTATTGATTTATTGAATAATATATTTTCAAAATTTTTCATATAAGCCCATCATAAAGATTAAATTATCAATGTTTTATCGTTTTATCTTTTAATGGAAAGTTTGATAATAAGAATGGAGATTTAATTGATCTTTCCAATTATTTTTTTTTTCAAAAATAAAATGGTACCAGTATTGCAAAATATCCTTCTGACATCATTTCACTTTGCAGTATTTTAAAACATGTACTTCATCAAAGTGTGTATTTGTTATAACAGATGGTAAAACAACAGAGTACCCTGTCATTCCTATTGCTGACAAGGATATAGTAGATACTAATGGAGCTGGGGATGCCTTTGTTGGAGGTAGGTGACATTACTGTAAAACACCAGTATTAGTATTCACATTTCTACAGTCTTCAAGGTTATGTCCCTTGACACAGCAGTTACATACGAGGGTTGATCCAAAAGTTCGTGGAATTTCTTAATATTTCATTCATTTATAAGTGAAATTGGTTGAAAATTACAAATGAGAATAAAGACACTTGTTGAATATTTTAAATTAAAAAATATTTTAGATATTTGTGATAGTAACTCTTTGGCAGTTGCCATAGAAACGGATGTTTGGAAATGCGGGGGAGACATCAACGCGTTGATTATCATTTTAATTCTTAATACTTGAAATGAGAATTAAACCGCTCTTCGTGTTTTTGAAAACTAAAATTATGTCATTATTACGATTGCTTGATCTTTTATAAACCTTTGTGTGTGTATTTTACTGATTTTACTGGATATTTTGTTTATTAGTTAATAATTTATTGTTCATCTTAAGGTTGTTAGACGACGTCAAATTTCAGTCAAGTCATAAGTTTTGTGAAAATCCCGGGATCGCTCTATCTTAAAAGGGTATATTATTGACATAGACTGAGGAAAAATGCATTTAGCCACTGGTTTTCCAGTGGCGTAAGAAAATGAAGAAAAATAGAACCTTCATGGACGTTGATTAAAGGTGTGGCCGCCTTTTTGAGGCTCTGTTTTAAGTGTTGTCCCCCTTGATAAATTGAAAGCGTTAATAGACGTTGTCGGCTGACGTACTGTTCTTGACATTGCTACTGAAATCGGAACATCATATGGAAAGATGGGGGGTATTTTGAAATATGAGTAAAAAATGAAGATAAATTGGTGCGAGAGCATACCCAGGCTTTTCTTGAGAAAAAAAATGGAGAAAAGGGCAGCATTTTGAAGAATTACATGTTCGAATTTGACATTACGGTAAGATGATTCTATAATGTGACGTGACATACCTAACTTGACGTTACGTCGAAGTCTCCCCCGGGTTTCACAACCATCTATTTTCAGAAAGCTCTTGTGACCTTATTAGTAATTGGAATGTGGTGAAATTTTCCAGTATTGTTGCATTATGACTCTATTTTATAAATATGCCTATTGTTTGCTCTTGTCAAATCATGATAAAATTTTAGAAAGAAATTCCACAAACTTTTGGATCAACCCTCGTATTTTAATGGTACATGTATCTTACACTATTTCTTGTTTAGAAATTGTATCATACGCTTGTCAGCTGCATTTCACTCATTATGGGAAACTCAACTGGCATTGTGTATACCTGGATAAAAAAACTGAACATATTTTGGAAAAAAATTAATTTAAAAGTTTAATAATGTCAGAATTTATTATAATATATTTATTAACAGGTTTCTTAGCCCAGCTTATTAAAGGCAAGCCTATAGAGGAATGCATTCGATGTGCAAACTATGCAGCTAACCTTATTATTCAACGATCAGGATGCACCTACCCAGAGAAACCCGATTTCCACTGAGAGCTGTACCGCAGTGGAGAAGAGTATTAAGGGTAATGCATGGGCATGTCCAAGAGGTTGTGCAAATCACACACGAAAAAATCTCTCTCTAGTGAATCAAGTGCAGAGACTATCACTTCTTTCAATCACCTTAGACCTTAAACAATTAAATATGACTAGGACTCTCTCATACAGATACAAGTCATGATGCAATTAAATTATTGAAATTTTTATCAAGTACTATCTATGGTATATATTCTGTTCACAATTTTATCAGGTATTATTTATGGTCTACAAACTGTTGTATATTTCTTTTTTTACAATATGTTATTTCTGGAAATTATGATGACATCAGTGCAATGAACTGAATGTATTAAGTATGTTTTGTATTAAAATCTGAATAGTTTTGTTGTTTACCTTGTTTTTAAATATTCTTTACACATGTAAAATATTGATGACGCAAAAATTTGTAATTGCAATCCCTATCAACTAGGGATGTCAAAGTGTTAATTTTCCTTAGTGGAACATTCGATTGCATTATTCGAACGATAGTTGACTATTCGGAACTTTTTTTGATTGCAGTTTTTTTAAAAAGCTTATTAATGAAAATAAATTGGTAAATTGAAATAAATTATAGAAAAGGGGAATTGTAAACACACAATATCCACACCTCAGGTGATATTGTTAAAGACTGTTCAATGAATGATTGCCCAAGCTATAAAAATGCCTTTTATACATGTTAGATTATTGTTATTATAATTATCGAAGCATAAAAACTTCACGGCTATGCAAATATTGTGTGTTCCTAGCATTTGAAATTCCTAGAGTATAAATAGAATTGGTACAAGTCAAATAATATTCATAATCCAGTATAGTGTTGCATAATGTTCTACAATAACAAAAACGTCAGTGATTGAGAAATAATTACTGTATTTTCCATATGTACAATGTGGAAAATTATTGATATAATTTGACTGTGTTTGAGCTCTTATAAATTCGTCTGGGGACGTACACTATATAGTTTGAAGAAGGACGCTTTTTCAATTTTGAGATGAAAATTTCATTATCACCTTTTTTTTTACATATATCTAATATTTGAATGTTGTTTCATTATTCAATCGTCAGTCCATTCGATTGATAGTCGAATAGTTGACTGTTCGTTGACATCCCTACTGTCAACCAGTCTCACCAGCTGTGTGCTTTCTGTCATGATCGGTCAATGGAAAAATGCGTAAATGAGTATGAAATGCCTCTAGTCAGCAAGATAGGTTGTATTTGCCAACATGATCAGTGTATCAATCATAGAAATTTTGAAATGCTGGCTTAATCAGACTAAACAAGACTGTTGATATCCTTGTTTAATCAACTTGTTTGTCAATAGCTTGCCTCCATTTTAGAAAGTTTTCATACATAGAGCATGCTCATGTTTATTGAATCAGCTGAGAATCATAAACCCCAGGTGATGTGTATATTGAAACATAAATTGAGGGAAGTTGATGATAAAAGAGTCATATCACATAAGTTTTGTTCTTAGGGTATCGCTAATGTCTTTTTCTGGTAAAATATCCAGATGTGTCAAACTTTGTTGTATCTATTATTTCAATTTCACTTGCAAGAGATACATTAAGTGGATATTTGAATAGAATTTATTAATATTATTACTTGGTACCTGGTGATAGATTTTCAAATTACATGTATGTAATCTAAATGTCAAGTTGAAGGCCACAGCAAGTCTTTTCTTCTTCTCATGTATAAGTTTTTGAATAAATTCTGCTTCTTGTGAGTGCAATATACATTGTTGGTTGCTAACAACTGGTTCATAACTACATTGATACCAACCTAACAATGTCAGGCTTTGTGATATTTAATTCAGAACTCTTTGAGCATAATTGTTGAGTTTGGGATGATACCTCCAATCAGAAATGCAGGCATCTTTTAATATAAACTTCGAAGTACTCTTTGGTGTACAATCAGAATGTTTTTAAGCAAAATGACAAATGACAAGGTAAGTAAATTCACTAGTTCTATTTTTATTGAAAAAGCAACTGTATGTATCATAATAATTATGATGCCAAAAATCCAGGATTTGATTTATTGTATGAAGTGTTGAATAGCCAAACGTTTTAATGCCATTGGTTTGGGGATAATTTTGTGCTTTTCAAGTTCCTTGGAGATTTACATCTTATTTTCGCCACTTCTCGAATAGGCCTTTTCTTTAAGCCGGTCCGGCTCGTTTATTTTATCCAATTTTAGCAACACCTAAACCACCCATTGCGCATGCTCAACTTTGTACACGTATATTTCCGGTGGTATAGTAAACAACAACAATACAAAAAGCCATGCTTAAAAAAGTCTTTTTATCTCTTTTATTAGTCACTTTGGTGGCGGCAAAGACAGACAAGAATTCCAAAGATTCAAAACTTACACCTGGTAAGTAAGAAACATCGTAGCTTGAAATGTAAATGATTCTCTTTAAAGGATGTAGGCCTACATGGCGAATAGTGAGGTTATTCAAGAGTTCACAGAAATTCGTCATGATTAGTTTGTGTTCATTCTATTTGATCATCCTACACTTTAAAATACACTATAAATACACTACATTATAAAATGTATTGCATTAATTTAAGAATTTATGTGCTTTGATTCAGCAGTGATTTCTATCATAACTTTTATCTATTTATTTTGCAGCTGGCCTTTGTGCAGGATGTCAGGCCACAGTAAAAGGTATACATTCTATCTACTTTAAACATGTTAAACATACTGAAGTAGTTCTAAGACAAATTTATTTTACCGGGAGTTAGAATTTCTGTTTGAAGAAACAAACACATTTGTTAAGTGTCCTTTATTGAAGTTTAAACTTACTGAACACTCCTGATATTTAAATCAAAATTTACTTTAATTTTAGAATTGTCAAGGACTTTGAAACATACAACAAATGAGCCAATCAACAAACGAGTTCCAGTGCTAATGTCAACTGTCTGCAAGAAGGAAAACTTTAAGCACTATGAAATTACTCCTTCAGTCATTGAGGAAGCCTGCAAATTAATAATGAGTATGTACAAGTTTAAGGAAAGGATATGGGTACTTAGCTAAATTAATTAAGATGTGATATCTCAGCTGGGCTTTTATCCTAATTATTTCTGTCCATAAACTTGGCATTTGTTTATTTGCCTTCAAAAGAATGTGACAGGTGTCAATGAAATTGTGACAAATCTGATAAAGCACTAGTCAGGTGACAGTAAATATATTGATAATTATGCTTATATCCCCCCATTTAGTGAAGATCAAAGTTCATTCGAAGACCCTAGATGGGTCCCCCCTCAGTCTACCATTTAGGGCTGGACCACATTTAACATTAGAAGTCAAATTTTGCATTATAGTATGGAGGGTAAAATTGTTAAAAGAGTCATCTTCTCAAGCCCTCAGGAACTATTAGTCATGCATTTGACAGTATAACAATGTAGCGTTATTGAAGTTCTTCAAACTATTCAAAGATGTCAGTAGAAGTTGAAAGTATTGTTGTCTTGTAGAAAACAATGGAACAGCTATAGAGTCTACCCTAGTGAACTACTACAATGCCAAAAATCGTAAGCACCACTCTTACCTGGATATAGTTCAGACGATCTGTAACGAGGTCACCAACTCC